CTAGTTAGTTACATTCTACTAAGGCTCCTTGAATAGGAACAAGAGTCATTTATATCAAATAAGCGTCAGCAAAAAGTTTGCTGGGTTTGGAACATAGTGTCCCTAACGCGAAATTGCGGATTATTTACATATATTTACCTATATTGTGCCTTTCATTTATATTTTACATTGCCACATGTTGTTCTGAAGTGACATAAGTCATCAGCTGCTTTGCGAACTTATTTTATTTATTTTTCTTTCAGTTTGTTCTGGTTGTGGGCGATTCCCATCTGAGAAGCCTTGTTGATGGCTTCGTCCTCATGCCAGAAGGGAGCCTTTCCTTTGGCTACAGTTGCACTCTAGGGGCAAGTGCTTCTGTCCTTCGACGTGAGGTTCAGGGTGAAAGTATTCCTTACACCCCTGACCTTGTGTGCCTCTTGGCTCCTGGGAACAACATCACCGAGAGTAACACCATTGAGCAGTCTGGGCGGGACTTCACCAGCCTTATCCAATGTGCGTTGAGCCAGTGGACTAAGGTATATGAAAGCTAACAAAAATCATTTCAAGAAATAATGTGAAGGAATGTTATTTTTTTCCTGTTGTAACAGAATTTAATTTTTTTCTTTTTATATTTATTGTAGGTCATAGTGATAGACTTCCCCACTCGACTAACTGTGGAGCATCACCTCCAGGACCTGCTGCGACAGGAATACCATCGTGCTGCAAGCAGACTGGGTATGTTGAGTTGTGTATGACAAAAAACCTACCACCACATGATAGGGTACCTTAATCAGTTATTGGAGACAAAGTGCACTAAGTAGTAAACATGAGTAAAGTAAACATTCTTGATGTAGTGAGTCTGTCAGTGGCACATGAAATCAGAGATTAAAACAGCATGTTAATATTCCTTGTATAGATGTGGCATGTTTTTTTGAAGCAATGAAAATGCGTCTAGTGTCAGCAATCCATTTCTCATAGGTGTGAGATACATGTCCATCTCAGAGCATTTTCCACAGTCGACTCTTGACCTGTGGTGCAGAGATGGTGTGCACCTTAGTGACAACAGAGGAATGCCGATCCTGGCACAGCTCATCTGGACTGCAGCCTATCTTCACCTGTCAATGCCACCGACACATCATTTCACCCCAGGGGTAATGTCTGTATGTTCAAGGGTTAGTCCTAAGGTGGTTGTGACAGGTGTGATCAAGGCAAAGACACAAAGGAACGTGTACACCTGGTCCAACATGGTGAAGGGTATCCCGAAGGGTGCTGCAGCAGACCTATTTAGGGAGCTTACCCTGGTAAGTGTCTACCTTTTTTACTATTTATGTGATTTGTGCGTGCTTGGGTGCGTGCCTGCCTGCCTGCCTGTGTGTGTGTGTGTGTGTGTGTGTGTGTGTGCACGTGTGCACAAACATAACAAGGGTGTTTACAATAAAGCTATAATACTTCTAAAATCTATATCTTTTGGAAAGTCTATGTGGTTTTGAAACATAAAATCATGGGTTAAATATTGGAGTTTTGTGATGTAATG